AATTATAAAGAAAAGGAAAAGAAAAAGTGAGATAAAGTAAAAGAAAAAGAAAAAAGACATGCAAGTTCCATTTTTGATCTTTGATTCTCATTCCCACTGGCAAAGCCATGTCAAAACTATTAAAACCAAACTGTTCTATCAATCTTCATACAAACCCAAGAAATTAGAACACATTAAAAATGATCATTTGTGTCAAATTATGCATAAGCTGTAAAGAAACAGTCAAGGGAGAAAGTATGATTTTTTTCAGACATACCTGAAGTAACAGAATATGATGATGAACACGAGAAGTATGCTACAGACAGTCACTGATATTAGCAGAGCCTTGTGGTGAACATTTGCTTCGGAAAAAGCTAAAATAAGAAAACAAAAGCCTTTAATAATCAGATGACAACTTTACTTACCATATTTAAGTGCAGTTCATCACCCATGCCCCTAAGCATTTGAAGGGACTTGCAAGCAGGATGAGAATAAGACAGTGCTGGTATTGACAAACTGCATCACCCAAATACAGCTTATAAAGTTCTTCCATATGGTCATATTAACCACCGCTATCCAGAACAGGAGCCGGCTATGCAGTGATCCAGATTCAATGGAAAAATGGTGATTTGGAATGCACGTGGGCAAGTATGGCACACCTGCCTGCACCTTCTTAAATCCAACATGTGTTTTCCTGAGACCATGAGGGGCACTAGCACACACCCAAGAAAAGAGGCGGAGTTTTATCAGTCTCTAAGGATGTGCCAATAGGTGTCATATGAATACCCAATAAGCCCCAAACCACCATCTCTCTAATAGTGGGGTGTATGTGTCTACATATATCAGCAAATAAACAGACAGAAAAATGAATTTTATGAAAAATGCCTCTGAGAATAACACACAGTATAGTAGAGTGTTACTACACACACGTTGCTCAAGGAACATGCCTCTCCTGCACTTTCTGGATTCGGCCACATTTTAATAATAGGGTGAACCATACTTTAAATCCAGGTCCCCTTTTTAATCACTCCCATTCTTCTCTTAGACAGTTTGGGCATTTTTGCCTCTGGAAGAGATGAAAAGGCCATGTCATCCTGCAGCTCTATCATGACTTCAGTGGAATTCACATCCTCACTTCAGAGGGTATCTTACCTCAGACCTTTATTCTATCTTGGCAACAGAGTAGGTAGCCGTCCGGGGGGGGGTGTGTGTGTGTGTTAAAATTTGTAAATTAGAGCATGTTCTATTCCAGCTTTCACCTACCATCAACATCTTTCCATAAGAAACCTTGACTTTACATGGATTTAGTGGCACAGAAACTTAACAAAAACGTATCTGCCACCATGAGAAAAACCAAAGACGTCTCCTGTGGGATTTCTAGGGCTGATTATGTGCAAGGTCTGCAAACAGACTTCATCACTAAAAAGACTGTTAGCACTCATCATGGACTGGTCAAAACTCAGCTAAAAAACGAGAAGCATATATATTTCTGAAAATTAAAGTTTACATCAGAAAAACATATAAGCCAGCATCAGAACACCTACCCAACAAACAATGTCATTGGTAAATGTTTCTCATGGAACTTTTATTAACAACTAAGCAAATTCAAGGAAACTGCATGTAAAATTCTTATCAGGGAATGTTGGGACATGGGAAAGTTAGGGGAAAGGGATATATTCAATTTTAAAAAACCATAAAGAAATGAATGGACTGAAATACTGTCCAATTAACACAGTAACACCAACAAGGTTTACTGTGATTCACATATCTCTAATAATCACCATCACAAATGTGAATAAGACTTTAGGAGATTTTGGTCTCCATTTCAAGTATAAATTTCTTTATCTGCAAACTGCAAACTGATCCAGCATGCATCTGGTTATTTTAGAGTGAGAGGAGCTCTTTTGGTGTACTATATAGTAAGACAAGATGAAGAGAAATAACACCATAAGCTGCAAGACCTCTATTCTTATTGATCGATCCTGGAATACAGCTATTGCATTTCAGATTTACCAGAGTGATGCAACAAAGCATATGCCTATGGGACTCTTAGCTTTCTATTAAGCACGTTTACTTCCAAGCTCTGGTTTCATCTTCTATTTTGGCCCCTGAACAACATTTCCTTTCTGGTTTGGGAGAGACAGACAGACAAGGAATGTATCTTCTGTTTGCATCAGGTTTAACAGTTTAACTTTATGGTATCTGCTACTAATATGTTCATGGCATAAACATCCAAGACAAAGTTGCCGATTTTGAAATCTCTTTTATAAGGGGATGAACATATGAGAAAATACTATAGTATTCTCTATGGGCCAAAAGATTTGTACCTGAGCCATTATTCCAAATGAAGAGTAGTGAAAATTGAGAATCCTCTAAGGAGATCACTTGCCTTATAAATAGGCTGTGATTGTGAGGGGTGGGAAATAGATGAAGAATAAATGCTCTCTAAATATTAATGTTGATAATGTACCTTTTGACCAATTGTTTTTCTCCAATGCACATCATTTACTGAAGTTTAAATACAATGCACTGTCATCAAAAGACTAAGGGCAGCATAGAGGGAAAAAAGGCAGCATCCTATTGAGGGTGCTTTTGTGCCAGGCAAAACATGTCAAATTTTAAAGGTCATAAGTCAATAAGATACATGGAATGGACACTTGGGGCTTCCTTTGTACAACTCCTGAAAAAACAGACAATGTTTCTTTTATTGAATTCAATTCTGATCCCCTAATCCAAAGATACAAAGCAGCTATGGTAGTGCTACTGGTTAGAAAACAATGCTTTTCAATCAAAAAAGCAGTTGTGTTGAACACAGGAAGAACATAATAGAAGCTCATTCATTTGGAAGATGATACTCCATGAACGCGTCTTTAAAATGAGTAAGAATGGCCATTTGTGTCAGAGGAAGTTTATCAAGATTATACAAGACACACTGGAGATTGCTTCAAGGAATAAGTAAATAATTTGGGGGAAGCAGGCGTATGCCTAAAGTTCCATGGGCTATGCCCTCTATTCCCTTCACCCCAACTGTATCATTCATATATGTTAGCAAAACATAGCAGCTAGTTTTGAGACTTATTATTCTCAACGCCTGAGAAGGAAAAGAGGCAAATATATTCAAATAGCCACTTTTATTCTACTTGAAGTTGTTGGAGATATAAAATCTTTCCATGTAAGTTATGGAGAAGTAGCAGTATATGACAATGTCCAGCCACTGAAAAATAAGCAATCAAAGCTTTAGAAATAATTGAAGAGTGTACTTAGAGACTAACAAGAATCACTGTTGCCTTCAGTAAGGGGAAAAAAATAATTACTGGGAAAGAGTGAATACAGAATTCTCATAATATCAGCTATTGCAAAAAAATATCTGTGAAATGGATTGCTTGTTTAGGTATTTATTTAAAGCACGTTTTATTCTATCCTTACATCCCTTCATCCAAATAAGATACTGTTCTCATTTGAGAAGATAAGAGATTTTGCTTCTTAACTTTTCTTCAAATACAGACAGGAATGAAATGGCTGCTGGATGTTATAGAACTACTAATTATTTATTATAGGATTTTATTAATCATTGGATTACTAAAACAAATACAAACTGGATAGGAATGAAAGAGGATACTGAAGAGAATTATCTGCAACAATGTTCACAATCCTTTTTTTGTACAGTTCTGCATAAAAGTATGGTGCTTATTTGAACTTTTAAAAAAACTTGCTGAAATTTGTTCAAGAAGTTTGAATATTTCTATCCTTTTGCATATAATTTTTTATCAAGGATTCTGATTACAATACTAAAAACTAATACAAACTAAACTTGAAGAAAAAGGAATTGTAAGAAATAAAAAATGCAAGAAAAGAAAGACAAAAGACAAAAGAATATAAAGAAAAGGAAAAGGAAAAGAAAATGTATAAAGAAGTGACTTCCAACATTCATTACAACAATTACAGACAAATTTAGT